AAAATATAAACCCGTCGACTACACATGCGAAGCATACAAGAAGCATGAGGCAAAAAACAGGTACCTGCTCGCCCTTGCTACAGGCAACAAGCTAACCAAGATAGGTAGTTAAAGAAGGTCATGTGTCGCTGCAAGCTGCTGCTTCTCGGTCAGATATATAACGCCCGAGATTCCTTCCTTCCCCAAAAAAGCTTAGTTTTCAAGAGGTACTCAGAACGTACATACAAAGGTGTACAAGTCCCTTTTCAACTACCTAATTGTCCTGAAGCCTATGCGAACTGGCAAACTTTTGCTGTTTTTAGATACGATGATGTCATTTGCATCGACGCTACTCGAGTGATTCTCAAAGGCAGACCTCCTGACGACGATTATATTCACGCTAACTGGATGGTAATGCCGGACAGTCAGAAATATATATGCACACAAGTGCGTTTCTGCTTCAAAACTTCTGTGAGCTTTTTAGGCAGAAGGTTGAAGAGCAGAACCTGTCTTCTTTTGCTTCTCTCCAACTGATGCAGTACTACCACTCACGGGAAGGTTCTCCCCTATAAGTTTGATCTAATGGAATGGATAGTGGACCTCGGGCAGGCGATCCTTCACACACATTATACATTTTTATAATTTCTTTAGAATTATGACGCAGACAGTTCTCACCTCGCACAAGAAGAGCACATCAACCTAAAACGACATTGCAATGCGATACTTTTCTCTCCATTCACAAAAGTTAACGCGTCATAAAAAAGTAGACTTGCGAATAAATTTGGGGATGAGCGGAAACGAGTATTTCGCTATCAAACGAAAGACAGTCAAGGAGCAGAGATAATTTATATCACTAAAGTATGCCCAACTTCCAGCAATAAAGGTAAAATCGGCAAAATCCCCTACTTTTCTGTTCGACTGAGGTAACAATGGTTTGAATTTCAAAGGTAACCTCAGCAGTACGAGTAATAGTTAATAATCATAACAAGAAAATAGGATAGGAAAGACATAATAGGAAAAAAGATAACCAAAATAGGATGACTCTTTCAAATTGTTAAAGGGATCGTCAACCCTTTAACAATTTGAACGCCACGCAACAAAACTCGTACGCGGCGGCCGCCACGCCGCCTCGCTCCGCCCACCGGCGCGACGACCCACTTATCGTCGACGATAGAATCGCCACACACCCATTCTCGCAAACAGCAGAAGGTTTCTACCTCGACGTACTCTATGACAACTCGCACGACCTCCTGAAGTTTCACTCCTATTTCCAGGGCCCAATTCAAGAGACGATACTTGACTTTTGGCATATGATTTTCACAGAGAAGGGAACAGTCATAGTTATGTTATGTGCATTTAAGGAAGGTAAGCATGTTCCGCATAGAAGAGAGGTAATTTCCATCTTGCGGCTGGATAATAAACTGTGTCCTCAAATGTCACGTCAGACAAAAGGATGCTTTCGGCTTGGGGTGGGGATGGGAAGCGGAGCTGGGGGGGAAGGGAAAAGAAGGACATTTTGCTTTTTCACAGTCTCTTTTGCCAATTTCTGTTAAATTGCACGTCTCAGCTTGGTCGGACTTGTAGGCACTTGTCATGTCTTAACGAAGGCTAACGTTGCTTTACAACAACTTTACAAGGGTCTCCATAGCAGGCATTGGCAGTGACCGATGGGAAACAGTAAAGTGTCCCACCTTTCGAACTGTGCCGTGAATGCTAAGCCGGTGCATTCCTTCTCAATAGGGGAACCATATAGTACTTGGCGACTCTTGCACAGACTACCTGTAAATTCTATTCGCTGCGTGGGCTCACTTGTTCCACATACTTCGCTGTTTCGCAAGACTTTGTAGGTCTCATCAAACTGATACAAGTTAATTAACATGAACCAGTGAAAGCGCACCCCCCCCCCTCCCCCTCCACTAAGCTGAACAGCGTGTGCTAAGCATTCTCCATTTATTTACAAGGTATGACTTGGGGAACTGATGAACCTCAATCATTTCATGTTCAGGAAACAACGAAAAATGTGCCCTATACCATCCGAAGAACAAAAACGAATGCGGAAAGTTCGGTCCATACAGGGTCTACCTGAAAGGAAGTCAAGCAAAATCCTTTCAATACAATTAAACACCTGGTGTTATGCGTGAAAAAAGACAGACGGTAAGTGCACGGAACATCTTTTCCTGAGAGCTTTCCTAAACGCTGTGCTTTTCAGAGTTTCATTAGATGTCCATCATCTGGCATGCACGGAATGGCCTGATCACACAGCTCCTTTCGAGCCCGGCCCGATAGTGGGGATGATGAGGCTGGCTCGTGAACTGGCCAAAGGAAATCCAATTATTGTTCATTGCTCAGCAGGAATCGGGAGATCTGCCACGTTCGTTGGTACGGCATACGACAAGAAGAAAAGCGCTAGAGGTTGATGGGCGCAGTTCGGCTTGGAAGGGGATTTTGAACATCCGGTATTACTCATCTCCGAACAAGCAGAAACTTATGACAACTGTAGACACTTGCCAACTCTTGCAAATCAATGAACACGACGATTAGCGCAAAATGCCTCCCCCCTCGCTAGCTGAACTGCGCCGTTGAGTGATTATTTCAAATGAGCCACGCCTTGAATTTCCTTGCGGGGGCGTGAAATCGTTGATCTCAGTCCACATAGTAGCTCGCGGAGGCTGGGTCATGGTTAAAGGCAAGCTATGCAGCTATAAACCCTCAAGACGTGCAGGATTGATACGTCGGCGCCCCTGAGCAGGCGCTGCGTGGTGCCCACTGCAGGGAAGGTACCTCTGTAATGACCTACCAAGCTGTAACATACCTACTCGGACGCCCAGCATGGCCGCCCGTCCCCAAATTACCGATGCTGATTCTCGCATTGCTTCATTTCAAAAGTGCAATATGAAGCGAATGGATAGATATGAAGCGGCTACGGTGATATACAGGGGGGAGCCTAAAAAAGACACTTTTCTTCCCTGACTTTCGAGGCGCTATAAGTTACACTTGTTCCTTCATTCCTACCACCATATTGAAGAGCGTATCAAATACTATCATAATACTCCAGCCACAGTCTTCTGGACGAGCGCCATCGAGAGATTTTGAGATTCTGGAGATTCATACGACCGCGAATCGGTGCCTGAGATCAGCGAGATAGTTGATTTCTCCGCCACTGTAGACCACCCTATTGAACTCCGCCCGAACCGGGTAATTGAGGGGTTTAGGTCAGGTGACCTGCTTAGATATTCCATCTTCTTCAGGTACTCAACGCCCTTCCATTCCAGAGTTTTTCCAACGCCCTTCGATTCCATGTGGTGTCACCCAATCCTGTAGCAGTACAAAGTTTCCAAGAAGGTACGGGCGACGACATGTGGGGAGGATATTCTTCTCGAGTTGCTCGATGTAACCGCCAGCGCTCACCTTCAGTCCGGGGTCCACGAAGAAAATATTGGTCTTTCCATTCCAGGTACGTCCGGTCCATACCATCAACCCGCGCCTTGGCGACTGTGGTGAAGATGATGTCCTAGACCGTAGCGACGTTGTCGGAGCTGCTCGATGTTGGAGGTCTTCCAGATCGAGAGTACTGGTCTCCAGGTAGCTATCCATGGGTGACTCCATACTAGAAGTTTGGAGGTGACATGAATTCCAAAGGTCTTCTCCAGTCAGGCTGCGACTGGAGATGACCTCATATTTTGGTGTACATGAAGGTGATGGGCGAGAGCCAGCTCCTGCTTATCGAGGAACATCTTGGGTATCCACGTCCTCTGTCTGGGCTGCGAAAACTTTGCTGACATGCAACTCGCTCCAACTGTCTTTTTTTGGCTCCACCTAGCATGTGAGTAGTACATGCACACGTATCTACCGCTGCGTCATTGGCACGATGTCAACGGTGAACTCGTCCATTGTTTTCTAAGACATGTACAACAAAGGCTTTTTGCAAGTTTTGATCGTTCCACTTCGTTTTTCCCTTTTCCCCTACATATAGCATCCCTGCTAACATTTTAGACTGATTCCCAAGTTATCGTGCCTTAGACCTGAAAAGGGCAAGCTACACATTCGCCTCCCAGGGCAGTTCGAGAAAAACGAGATGTCATATTTGCAAATGTTGCACTTTCCTCAATTGAAAGCGCGTGACAATGAGCCTCTCCACACACGCTATCCTCAAGGTGCTTCATCTTGAGTCGATACCAAATTTCCGCAGCGAACATGTAGTCAGAGGTAAAAAGCAACAAGAACTGAGAGGGCGCAGACGAGCAGCGCGTTTGGCTATTAGTTAGGCGTATGTCTGACCGTGCGGCAGCACGGGCGGTATATGGAGAGCCCCGGGTGTCACGACTCTCTAGCCCCGTCCCCGCGCACTTTTGACCTGTGGCAGCGCGGCCGGAGTCGATCCGTCTGAGAAGACGAGGTTACTGTATTGTACATTGGATGGTCCCCTTATTCTATTAGGTCGTGGCAAAAATAATGACCGTTTTCGCACCTGCTATGTTCCACTGATCATAATTCATCGAAAACTTACCCTTAGGCAACTATAGTATCTTAATCGTTCGGAAGCACATTTTTCAAGCTATCGTACAAACTTTTTCCCGTTTCTCTGCCACCATTTCTTCTACGATTTTGGGTCACCCGCGAAGATGTTGTCAAGACGCGAAATCCGACTCATCATGCTTCACGAGTACAAACTCGGCCGTAATGCTGCGGAAGCAGCTAGGAATATCACCAACGCATGGGGCGAAGGTACTACAAATGAGCGCACCACGCGTAGGTGGTTCGACAAATTCCGAAATGGAGACTTCAACCTGGAAGATCAGGAGGGACGCGGTCGGCCATCGGAAGTTAAAGACGACGAATTGAAGGCACAGATAGAAGCCAACCCAAGAGCATCCACAAGGGAAATTGCTGAAGAGCTGGGAGTTGACTTCGGAACTGTAGCACGTCATTTGAAGAAAATTGGGAAGGTAAAAAAAAATTGATCGCATGAGTTTACTGAGCGCCAGCAGTCTCGTCGTTTCCTGTTGAAGCCTGGAAGCCTGTTCGTCTCATCTTTTGCGGAACAAAAACGATCCTTTTCTGCAACGCATTGTGACGTGTGACGAAAAATGGATTCAATACGACAATAGACGACGGTCAGGACAGTGGTTGGATCACGACGAAGCTCCTAAACATTTTCCAAAGCCGGAGTTGCACCAAAAAAGGTCATGGTGACTGTTTGGTGGTCTACAGCCGGTTTGATCCACCACAGCTTCCTGGCTCCAGGAGAAACCATCACAGCGGAGAAGCACTGTGAGGAAATCGAAAAATGCACCACCAAAAATATCTGCGCCCTGCCATCAGGCATCTCAACGCCAACGATTAGATCAATAGGAAGGGCGCGATCCTACTCCATGACAACGCCCGACCGCATGTTTCATTGATGACAACAAAAAAAAAAACTGATGGAGTTGGGATATGAAACTCTCGACCATCCTCCATACTCACCAGACCTTTCCCCTACGGATTATCACTTTTTCAAGCATCTCGAAATTTTCTTACGCGAGAAATGCTTCCGAAACCAAGACGACGTAGAAAAGGCATTCCAACGATTTCAAACTGCCTTCTCGTTGGCAGAAATGTGTTGATTCTTTTGGTCGTTATTTCGATTGAAAAGCAACACTTTGAAGCGAGTTATGATATTTTGAAATATTTGCTTCAAAACAGTCATTATTTTTGCCACGACCTAATATGTACAGGGCATATTGCATCGGCTGGTATTATGATTTGAGCGAAAGTGAAATGTTTGCAACACCCCAGAAAGGGCAGATCAAAGGCGTGAAACTTATCGTTCACCCTTTTAGTTTGGCATGTTCTTTCTCAGGCATCGACTATGCAATGCAGAAAATCAAAGAAGATAGCAACACAAGTATGGTAGACGTGATGAAGGATCTCCGCAATCAACGTTTCCAAAGCATCCAAGGCATTATTCAGTACATATTTTTGCATATGTGTGTGCTTGAAGGATTTGCTGATGTAAGTTTTACGGCAAAAATTCAAATTCGAGAGGTGGTTTAGTGGAAAGGTGGGGGGTGGCTTTCTCTGGAAATTAGACTGTGCTCATACTCTGCAGCAGCGTCCAGCGACCACCAGCGTCCACCAGTGACCATCAGCGTTTCGAGTGACAGTGAGAGTCAGGGGTTATGGAAGTACAGATATCGATCTAGCGAACGGCAGCGTCCACCGGTGACATTCGAGCGTCCCTGTGTAGTAGTATGGCGCGATTGCACACGAAACAACTTCATAACGCCTGATGCAACCGTCTCTTCCATCCTACTTCCCCATACTATCTAATCCTAGCCGCTGGTGGACGCGGTTGACGCTGGACCAATTTCCATACTTCCCTAGTCCTTCAGAACGCTGATGGTCGCTAATGGACGCTGGTGTCGCTGGTGCACGCTGCCGCAAAGTATGGACGCCGCCTTAGCGAAACGCAGCTCATCAAGTTCACGTCGCAGGAAGTAACCACTGGACCTTAGGTCTGCTGTCAGTGTTATTTCTGTCACCACTATCTAAAATTTTGCTGGGTTTGTTCTCAAGGGTAAAAAAAAAATACGGAGGAGAAAATGTTTAGTGGAGTTCAACCTGGTGTGGATGCACCGTGCTCTCGAATTGGAATCCAGTCTTTATTTAAATACAATCACCCGAAATGGGAGCTTTGGAACAGCTTCTCGT